TTTGTTATTGGGAAGTAAAATGCAGCTTGATCCTGTAATTGACTCAGTCATCACAGAATGGTCCATTTATATACCTTCAAAAGCCCCTGGAGAGCTTTTACAGACCATGTCCATTTGCACTGTGAAGTACAGTCCAATCAATCAGCTCCATTGGGCTGAATCAGTGCAGACAGTTTGTTTTTATACTGCTCAGAATAACTCCACCTGCTTCTGCCCTCTGCAACGCCAACAAATTATTGTGATTCAGTCCTATTTTCTTTGAACTAAATTTGTTTAAATTTAGACACTTTAAACCCCTACAGTCTGATTGCAACACTTTGGTTTTGATAGTCTTAGTCATTGCTATTTTGTTGACTTATCTTGTTTCTTAAATGTATTTGAATATGAAAGCTGATTGGCTAATACATCAGTCTTTTTGACATACTAAAGAGGGTCTGCACTTCCCCTGGCAACACTGAAAATCCACAGATGTGTGATGGGTGCAAAGCAGCCATGAAAAACTTCCCAAAAAAAGAAAATACTGAATTTACCCAAATAAAGGACAAGATTTTTAAAATTGAAAATCATTTTTAAATGTGGGGTCATCTTAAAATTGGGGTCTAAGGATTCACACATGCTGATATTTGTCTGGGGTCATTACACCCCATAACAGCAGACAGCGCCAGGCTGTATGTTCTCAACAGGAGAAAAAAAATGGAGACGAGAGATCCGAAGCAGAGTGGACCGAAAGTGGAGCAAGTTAACAAGCTATAAGAGTTATGCTAATATTAAGATGCCAGTGGTCAATTCAGCAAAGGCATCAAACATTGCATTCATGGATGCCTTGGATGGCAATGAGGATGACGTTCTGTGATTAGTCAGCAGATGTAGCAATTTGATGGAACACCAGCAACATGAGAGGGACTGAGTACAGCGAAGCAGAGGTTGTCTGTGAATAAAAGCCTTATATGACTTTTTCACATGTCAACAAAGTTCTGATTTGTATTAAAATAGTATTTTTGTTCAGTATTTGTTCTCAAATTTTCAATAAAAATAGTTTATTTTAAAAGTGATTTTCTTTTTGTCTTGGAAAGGGGTCGTCTTATAATCAGGATCGTCCTTGTATTAGGGTCAGTACGGTACACCTTTTGAAGTAAATTGGTTTAAAGGGACTTTACGGAGTTTTGAATTTTTATGCTTGCGATTACCCCCTCAGGCCAAAAGCGTAACGGCAGCTTCAATAGTAGGCTCGTGCACGAGGCGCGCATGCTGTACGTGCACACTCCTTAACGAAGATAACAGCTGAGACCGCCCCGTGTGTGTGTGTGTGTGTGGTCCGGAGGACGGAGGACAGGAGAACGTGCAGCTAATTAATTAAATAATTTGGTTCTGTACCTTTCTCTTCAGCACAGCCGACAAAGGTTTAAGATGGGTCAGTCCTCCGGCATGCTCAGATCATTCCATTCCCTTGCTTGAAAAATTGTTCCAAAATGAAAGTTTAACCCACGTCATTTTTATCTGTGAATTCAATGCCGTTCGGCGAGTCTCAAATTAAAATTTGGGCATCTTACTGTAAAAAAATATACCATTACTGTAAATAATCAACTCTAAAACAGCTATGTTCACATCCAGAATTGGACCCGGGTCTTCTGCCTGAATGTTCAACGTTTTACTATGCGAGCTAAAGTGCCAGTGATGTCCTATGTATCTGTAACATTTATATCCTTGATGATAGCTGAAACAACGTTCAAAGAACGATTCGGAGGGCTATGCCTGAGCGTGAACGCGCATGAAGCAGCCCGCTCGACCCGAGCCGCTCTCTTTTTCTGTGATTTTACAGAAAAATAGGCAATCACAGTAAAAATGCCAGGGCTCATTCTACAGGACCAGGGCATTGCAGGATAATGTATTAAGAAGAAATTTATTATTTCTATACATGTTTTGGCTGTTAAACTTCCATTATGCCCCTTTAATTAAACAAAAATAATTAATTAGGTTGTAGATTTAGGTTAGTGATTCTGATGATGTTTAGGCCAGCAGAAAAGGCTTTGCTGACCATGACTACCTGCCACTGGTGAAATCAGTCAGAATCTGGCTTGGTTTTTTGGGGCTCCTGAAAATGAATTCTAACCATTTACGCAGATTAAACTGTTCTTTGTGATGACTGACAAATTTCTGTACCTCGAACCCACACAAAAAATAAACATTTGGATTTTAGGCATTATCAAAAGTGCAGATTAGATAAAAAAGAAGTTCTTCACAACTATGGAGATTAGATCATGTGCTAGCTACAGGAGGGACTGGATGTTAGTTTTTACAGTCCAGGGGAGGAGGGTTCCAGGTTCAATACCACATGAATAGGGAGGAGCAGTGCCTGATGAAGCAAACCTGTTAAATCCAGCTGTTTGTGATGGCTTAGACCTGACGAGAAGCTGGAGCTGAGACAGGAAAAAGCATCCATGAAGTCAAAAACTATTTGGAGTGTTTTTCATAAGGAAATAAAATAAATAAAAGTCAAAATCTCCCAAATTTAAAGGTTGACTCCCTGCTCATATTCTTCCCAGTCTGCTTGCTCATTCAATTGGTAATGGCAGTGTCAGTTGTATGAGATGCTTATTTATAGAACTGGATGCATATTTGAGCTCATGCATGTTGCAGACTCAGAGAGCTTTGTAGGCTTGTGAAGAGGCGAGTATCTGAGTCAAACTGGGATGTCTGATGCTCCTTCCTGTAAAATCTCAAATATCAGAGCAAAACTTTGGTGATTATTTGCATATTTTCCTGCCATTGTTGATTGTTTTTATTTTATACCTTTGGTGTATCTGCTTACAATAACAGCATTAAGCACATTCACTCCTGAAAGTGACAAAAAATGGCTTAGAATAGCTGAAACAGGTTTGATAGCGTTTTGCTCAGCCTGACATGCGCTAAATTGGTTACTATACAGAAGATTAAACTCTGGATTGCCTGATGGGAATCAAGCAGGACAAATTAAGCGTGCAGTATCAGTAGGGAACCAGATGATAAAACAGCTTAAGCATGTGAAGACCCGTATTATGTAATAAATAAATAAGTTTAAAAAAGAATAACAACAAAACCAACTTTTATTCTTTTTTTTCCTTTTTTTTTTTTTTACTGAGTTTCATAGTTTCTGCTCTGGCCTCGGTTAATGCAGCACCAGTAGCGTGCTGTGAGTGTCTTTTGGGTGTGATCATTGTCAGCAGCTGCTGCTAGCAGGGGAGGCCAGAGCTGCTGTCAAAAGGACTTTGGTCTTTTTCTCTCTGAACAACTCACATTTAGCGAGGATGAAGAGAGTTAAATGCCATGACTCAGTAAAAGGTAAAAACATATTTTTTGGCCCCCCAGGGCATATGAAAAGTGGATGAAAATGCCATCCACCCTTTCTGTGTTGGTTAGTAATTTTAGTGGGTTGGAGGCAGGGAAAAAATAAAAGCTGATTTACCTTAACCTTGATAATTCCTGCTGAATCAATCTATTCAAACATATAACAAACATGATGGATGATGTAGACATAAATGCAAAGAATAATTCATGTAGAGTAAGACGTTGCTGATTCAATACATGCAGAATCCTACTTTACTTAAAACGTGTAAAAGATGAGCAGGATAGCACAATGTTTGGATTACTGAATTTGTTCAGACCTGATTTAGACAGTTTAGCCACGTATTCCAGATGATTTTTAATTATAATTATGCGATGAAATGAATTATAAAGCATGCAGTGTGCAAAAAAGTTATACAAGTATGAATAAATAATGAAGTTGGAAACAAAATTATTGCCATGCGAGAGTAAAACTCCTCCGGGTTGTTTTGACTCAGCACCGGACCCTTCTGCATCCCTTTGCATCTCAGCAGCAGATGTGGCACATGTTACACCATACAGGGGCTGCATGGTGACGCAGTGGTTAGCACTGTTGCCTCGCAACACGAAGGTTGCAGGTTCGAAACTCGGCTGCGGCCTTTCTGTGTGGAGTTGCATGTTCTCCCCATGCATGCGTGGGTTTTCTCCGGGTACTCCGGTTTCCCCCACAGATCACAACATGCCCTATAGGTTAAAAAAAAATTGTAAGTCGCTTTGGGTAAAAGCGTCTGCTAAGCACATAAACATAAACATACAGAGAAGCAATGCACTATTCATTTGTGTGAACAGGTTCAAACATTAAACAAAAATATTTCTACAAAGCCAGAGGCCTCTAACTCCCGGTCCGACTGAAATTTCACTGCTGCTCTTAAACCAGACACTGTTAAAATAGCAGAATGATCGAATAACTTGGGGGCTGAAATATTCATTTGTGCATTGCGATAATTATAAACATCACATCTTGTACTTTCCAAGGCAGCACAGTGATATGAAGAAAAAGGGGAAAAAATTAACATCAAATGGCCACACACAAAAATGTAAAGTGCAAAGTTGAACATTGCAAGTGGAGGAAAAGGTTTTTTCTTTCTTTTTGCATGTCCGTACCCTCCAACACCATCACACTTAACAGGTAAGTGCACCAAATCCAGATTGTTGTGATTTAAATGAGAAGACTGGATAATTTAGACAATTTGAATCATAAATCTGAAGCACAACTTTTCAAGCTACCATAATTTAAGACAGCATCAAAATATTCTTTCCTCCGTCTGATGGGACTAAAACCAATATCTTCAGTGTCCAGGAGTGTTGATGAAGGAGCTGCTGCACTACCACCACAGAGTGGTGCACACCCAGCCCGTTTCCTGTTTGGGGGCTACCCAATGAATTCTATATTTATTGGTATGTTGTACTTACTGCCCTAATCTGTATTTAAGCATATCAGGTCTCCACCTAATCAGTTTTGTGTAATTGGTCATAATCTCTCACAAAGAAGCAAAATGTAAGATGTTTGAAACCGTGTCCACAAGTTCTTCAGACTCCTTACACATACACAGATGTTTGATAGCCACTGAAGGTAATTCCTAAAAACTTGTTGTATGAACTTTTTGTGAGCTCTTCTATGCCCTTCTTTTGTATTCCAGACGTTGATGAGTGCAGTTTGCAGACACACACCTGCTGGAATGACAGCGTGTGTGTGAATCTCCTCGGAGGATATGATTGCATGTGCACATCTGGTCCAGGCTGCAGCAGCAACTGCCCGCAGGAAGAAGTAGTAAGACGCAATGGAGAAGACTGGAAACCCAGCTTTGACCGCTGTGCTATATGCTCCTGCAAGGTAAAGAAGAGAAACACACACACACACACACACACTCACAGTGATAATTACTTCAAATTAGCATTGGTTCTTGAGGTAAAGGATGTTAAATAAATGTTGTTGTTTTTTGGTTGAATATTTAAAAATAAATAATTTTAGGTTGTTTTATGTATCGAGGGAGAATGGGAGAGGAAAAAATACACATTAGCTCTCAAACTGAATGTGTGCTTCACTGCTAATTGGACCTACAGTTGTGGTCAGAAGTTTACATACACTTGTAAAAAATATAATATAATGGCTCTACTGAGTGTCCCGTTATTTCTAAAACTCTGTTTTTTCTCTGATGGAGTGATTGGAACAGATACTTCTTTGTCACAAAAAACATTCATGAAGTTTGGTTCTTTAATGTCTTTATTATGGGTTAACAGAGAAGAGTGATCACATTTGCTGGGTCACAAATATACATACAGCAACATGAACTAGCAATTTTGGTGACTTAGAAACGTGTCAGTGAACTGAGCTTCATAGCATGGCCTCTTAACTTCCTGTGAGTGATTATGAGTGACTACAGCTGGTGACTTCTCTTAGGCCAGGTAAATAGGGCCCATTGGATACCAACGCCCACAAACGCTACAATGGGAAAGTCAAAGGAGCTCAGCATGGATCTGAAAAAGCGAATTATTGACTTGAACAAGTCAGGAAAGTCACTTGGGGCCATTTCAAAGCAGCTGCAGGTCCCAAGAGCAACAGTGCAAACAATTGTTTGTAAGTATAAGGTGCATGGCACTGTTTCATCACTGCCAAGATCAGGAAGAAAACGCAAGCTATCACCTGCTGCTAAGAGAAAATTGGTCAGGAGGGTAAAGAGTGAACCAAGAATCACCAAAAAGCAGATCTGCCAAGAATTAGAAGCTGCTGGAACACAGGTGTCATTGTCCACAGTCAAACGTGTTTTGCATCTCCATGGACTGAGAGGCTGCCATGCAAGAAGGAAGCCCTTGCTCCAAAAGCGGCACCTTAAGGCTCGACTGAAGTTTGCTGCTGATCACATGGACAAAGATAAGACCTTCTGGAGGAAAGTTCTGTGGTCAGACGAAACAAAAATCGAGCTTTTTGGCCACAATGCCCAGCAATATGTTTGGAGGAGAAAAGGTGAGGCCTTTAACCCCAAGAACACCATGCCTACAGTCAAGCATGGTGGTGGGAATATTATGCTGTGGGGCTGTTTTGCTGCCAATGGAACTGGTGCTTTACAGAGAGTAAATGGGATAATGAAGAAGGAGAATTACCTTCACATTCTTCAACATAACCTAAAATCATCAGTATGAAGGTTGGGTCTTGGGCGCAGTTGGGTGTTCCAACAGGACAATGACCCCAAACACACATCAAAAGTGGTAAAGAAATGGCTAAATCCGGCTAGAATAAGGGTTTTAGAATGGCCTTCCCAAAGTACTGACTTGAACCCCATTGAAAACATGTGGACAGTGCTGAAGAAACAAGTCCATGTCAGAAAGCCATCAAATTTAACTGAACTTCACCAATTCTGTCAAGAGGAGTGGTCAAAGATTCAACCAGATGCTTGCCAGAAGCTTGTGGATGGCTACCAAAAGCGCCTAATTGAAGTTAAAATGGCTAAGGGACATGTAACCAAATATTAGCACTGCTGTATGTATATTTGTGACCCAGCAAATGTCATCACTTTTCTCTGTTAACCCATAATAAAGACATTAAAGAACCAAACTTCATGAATGTTTTTTGTGACAAAGAAGTATCTGTTCCAATCACTCTATCAGAGAAAAATCAGAGTTTTAGAAATAACGGGACACTCACTAGAGCCATTATATTATATTTTTTACAAGTGTATGTAAACTTCTGACCACAACTGTATTTGGGTAATGTACATGCGTCGGGATCTCAATAACAAAAGACAGTAAAAAAAAGAGAGAAATTGTTTCAACAGATGGCCGTCACCTCATGGTTAAAACACCCAAGTTGTTTTCAGACTGGTAGAAAAGAAGGATTCATATCCATATTCCTTTAGTGTAATTGTTCTTCCACCATGGAGCACGTGCATGGTGGCACAGTGGTTAGCACTGTTGCCTCGCAGCACGAAGGTTGCAGGTTCAAAACTCGGCTGCGGCCTTTCTGCGTGGAGTTGCGTGTTCTCCCCATGCATGCGTGGGTTTCCTCCGGGTACTCCGGTTTCCCCCACAGATCACAACATGCCCTATAGGTTAACTGTTGTACGTCGCTTTGGATAAAAGCGTCTGCCAAATGAATAAACATAAACATAAACCAACAAATATAAACAAATTTACAATATTAACCCCTTCATATAATAATCCTTCATTCCCACGCTGTTATTTGGACAAAACCTTGTCTGACTGAAGGTAAATAGGTATTGTCTGTGTCAGGGCTAGGAGGTGCCTATGCATCTTTTGCACAGCGGCAAAGCAAATACCAGTAAGTATTGAGTTTTCCATTATCTTCATAGTCAGAATCTTTGTACAGAAACTTCCTAAAAAATCTGAAATAAATCCTTGTTAAATGATTGTTTTTGTTCCCTAATATAACAATCTCATGTCAACTTTCTCCTCCCGTCATGTGTTTTGATTTACTAAAACTTCTGCACTTCTTATTGGGTAACTGCTTATGTTAGAGTTTGAAGACCCTGAGCCTCTGCTGTCTAACTGAGAGAGACATTCCTATCTTATGGGCCTTTAAGTGGGAAAAAAAATCTCCCATCTGTGCTTTGATTAGAAAGAAAAACGATGCTTTGACTCATCCAGTTTAAAATCAGAAAACAAATTAGCTTAAAACATTTTTTCATGCCTCTTAACAACATTCTAACATAGCATAGCTATAAATATGTTTGTCTGAAAACCTCAAAAGCAACTATTAGACCATCCAGTTGTCCGTGTTGTCGAACCGCCGCACTTTCGTACTTCCATGGGTCGTCCATTCATTACACACTCATGTATTCAACAACAGAACACCACTGGTGCGAGAGGTTCTCCCTCAATGTCAAAATCAGAAATTGAGAAACAGCCGGCTGCTACCACTTCAACTTTAGGACAAACTACCAGAGTCTCAAAAAGAAAAACACCATTTGAAGTGTAATGATAATAGAGGGTAAATTGCTTAAGAGCTATTTATCATTATTACCACCACTTGTGACCAAAGCTATGATACTCTATATAAATAGAATATCCCCTGCTTGGTCTTAGTATGATTAATTAAAAGATCCTAGGATTCTTTTAATTATTAAGGGATCGTACACACTTCGCTTTGATTCAAGAAACAGTCAGGTTTATAAAAAAAGTAAGAATTTATTTTACAAATACTTAAGACTCGACAAATGGTTTAAACCAGGGCTGTTGCTAGCTATTTTGGTGCCCTAAGCACAAAGGTTTCGTGGTGCCCCCCCACACACACACACACACATACAGAAAAAACAACACAATAACACAGTATGTGCAAGCGCTTCGCCTTAAATTTTCTTTAATTCTCTTGTATGCACAAACTGCTTATTATTTTTCCAAAAAGTAGGATTGATATTTAGTGTGTGTGTGTGTGGGGGGGGGGGGGGGGGGGGGGGGGGCATTTTGCCTTGGCCCCCAAAATGTCTTGAAACGGCCCTGGGTGTGTGACTGAGTTTTGAAGGCTATCTGAATTGTATCAGATGTATAAATATGACATGTGTGTAACTTATTTTTTTATACAGGTAGAAACACATAGTGGAGATAAATCTACCTACATTTTACTTTTCAACACTTTGTTTTGTTTTCTTGTTTTTATTTAACTATTTTCCTGTCCTGTCTGTCTCTCATCTTCCTGCATCTCCTCAAAACTCTCCAGAAAAACTGCTGCCTGGATTCTTACTTTTTCACCTCTTCAGTTACTTCTGAGCAGATCAAAGGGATCTCCTGACCGCAAAGCGGAGTGCGCGATTTGATGCTGCGTCAGTGAGGTGAAATCACCGCAGCGCAGGTGATTAGCTCCGCAGTAGCAGAGCGCTTCAGGCACAAATAAGACAGAAAGTAGAGAACATGAGCGGACATGAACGATCGTGTGTTAATTATAGTTTTTTGGTTGCGCCACTTTGAGAATGGACCGTGCGCTGGAAGCAGCAGCCTGAATCGCTGCACAACAATGCAGCGCTGTGTCGCTCTCTGTGCTCTCTGCTTAAAAGAGTCCATAAATGATGTAATATAGGTAGAACAGTTTTTTTCCGTCTCCCCTGGATGCGTAGGATATACAGCTCCCCCATAATTCGATCCCTGCTCCTGGATGAAAAGCCAGACATTTTCATCAATATAAGAACCCCCAGTCCGGACGCCCCGGACAGAGTGAAAAGTGGACACGGACCATCTTCTTTCCTTTTTGTATTGTTTTCTCTCTGTCAACATGCTGTTAACTTGCTTTGCACATCTTCTAATTGAAATCTGTCTTAATCATATATATATATATATATTATTTTTCATAAGCTTGCGTTTGGTGCCCCTTCCCCGGCGTGGTGCCCTACGCGCTGTGCGTGGTGTGCGTGTGCGGAGCGCCGGCGCTGGTTTAAACTATTGTTTACTGTGAGTGGAGGCTAACTAACATTGTCTGGAACCTATGTGTGAATGTTGCATTCAGAATCTCCGTTCTCAGAGCTGAGTTCTGGATGGAAAGAATTTGGTTTGCAAATAAACTGTAAAGATGTTATCAGAACCACATTCAGACGCTATCTCACTGTGTCTACCTCACCCGTTCTGTAAGACCCCCGTTGGATCCGAGATGTCCCGGGGCCGACGACCCCACTGCACCTGGCTCGTAGAAAAACCTTGATGCGCCCAAATCAGTCCTGGGATGTCTCCCTGGGTCACAACGATAGATGAAACCAAGCGTCTTAAACATAACTCTGAAGGAGTTTTGAGTCAGCTTTGTTCTGCAGGAAACTATCTTGTTGTTTCAGCTTCGCAGGTGCGAAAAAGGTTTTGACAATGTGCTAAAATCCTTTTGGTTAAAGAGGGTTTCCC